CCCCAGCTCCTGCCAGCAATGCACCGGGGAGCTGGGACCCCCCCAGGTCCAACTAGCCAGGCCCCTGCCGTACCACATGCCTGCTCACAGATGCACGTTTGCATTCGTGTGTGCATTGTCATGTGCACGCATGCATGCACATTTGCACCAATGCACTCGCACGCACACATCCAGGCACACTCACACCCTTTAAATACACTTGTGCATGCGTGTGCACACCCATGCAGACTCTCATGCATTTAACATACACTTCTAGCCAGGCCCCTGCCGTACCACATGCCTGCTCACAGATGCACGTTTGCATTCGTGTGTGCATTGTCATGTGCACGCATGCATGCACATTTGCACCAATGCACTCGCACGCACACATCCAGGCACACTCACACCCTTTAAATACACTTGTGCATGCGTGTGCACACCCATGCAGACTCTCATGCATTTAACATACACTTGTGCATGCACCCTCATGAACTCTCCTGCACATACCCATGTGCATGTACAATCATGTGCACTTTCACACACTGCATGCGCACACTCATGCTCATGTATGCACCCCTGTGTGCTTCATGCACACACCCATCTGCACAGACACAACTGCATGATCAGCCCCCGTGCATGCGCGCACACATGTGCATGCTCACCCATCCTCCTAGCACATGTGAGCCCCTCCCCCCCACCTTCATGATAAACCCCGGCTCTTTCTGCCCCTCCACGGCAAGGCCCCCCCGCCTGGCCAGAGGGCCCCTCACCTGTGTGACGTGGATGAATTTGGTGAAGACCTCGGCGCGCTGCTGCGGCGTGGGCCGGTTGAGGATCATGACCTGCACCCACTGGGAGATGCTGTTGCAAAGAGCCACGGAGCGTTCCAGGGCCAGGTTTTCCTGCACGGAGCCGTGCAGCACGTAGTTCCTGTAATCCAGGTACTGCCCGGGGGGCAGACAGAGGGACCGGAGCTTAGCCACCGAGGTAGCTGTTACGCTGAGCTGCTCTCAGACCCCGGGAGGCAGAGCTGGCCAAGGGCTAGGGGCTGGTGTCAGCGGTGGGATCTCTCCAGCGCAGCCCGCAGAGCAGACGGGCTGGGGGAGGGGTGCTCACCGAGATGCGGCAGAAGGCTTTGAACTCCAGGTAGCTGAGGTGCTCGGCCAGCTCCGTGGCGTCCAGGTGGTCGAAAAGCAGAGACACTTTCCGCTTCTTGTTGCAGTTGGGGCTGTCCTGGTAGCTGAGCTTGCGGGTCCAGCTGGGGATGGGGGTGGGGGGCTGGTTACACCAGCAGGGGCTTTGGTGCCTGCACATTTGTCCCCGTTGATGCACGCCCCACACTGGTGTGCACATCCCCATGTGCCCATGCACACACACACCCTATGCACAAATACACTCGCTTGTGCATGCCCCACACACAAGTGTGCACATTGAACACTCACACCCTATGCACAAATACACTCGCTTGTGCATGCCCCACACACAAGTGCGCACATTGAACACTCACACCCTGTGCACAAATACACTCGCTTGTGCATGCCCCACACACAAGTGCGCACATTGAACACTCACACCCTATGCACAAATACACTCGCTTGTGCATGCCCCACACACAAGTGCGCACATTGAACACTCACACCCTATGCACAAATACACTCGCTTGTGCATGCCCCACACACAAGTGCGCACATTGAACACTCACACCCTGTGCACAAATACACTCGCTTGTGCATGCCCCACACACAAGTGCGCACAT